ATTGTCTGGATACTGCGAGAATCACATGCAAGTATTTGTATATTTGGGCAACTTCATCCATGGGGCACTATGTAGCTCCAATCTTATAAACTGGATAGGATTTTATAGATTTTGATGTCTAATTGTTGGACTGTGTTGTAACTCAGGTTTTTATGTCAATGGACTATGTGTAATTCAGGTTTTTATGGCATACATGTATATCACCTTTACATTTTATGTCAAAATGGTTACTGCTCCATTGTTCTTCTTATCAGAAAGGGGGGTCAACTAAATTTTTCTTCGCCCTGGTAGCATATGAATTATGAAGTGTGGGTTTAGGTTATTTTTGGTCAGGGGAGATAATAGTCATTCTTCTCTTGCTATAAAAAGTTTGGTCACAGTGATCTAAGCCAAATTTGGGGCGTTACATCTGTTCTGTTTTTAGGATATGGTTATAGTAATTATTATGGCGCAGATGTGGGCAAATAGGATCATTTGATTCCTGTCTCCCTTCCTCCACTTTTGTTATATATGTTGTGAAAATGTAATTTGCCAGAGTTGACTAACTCTGTATTTTGGAGAAAAATCCTCCACCCCAATGTCCTCTATCGGTCTATAAGCCAAACCAAAGTTAATTTTGGAACTGTGAGGATTTTACTTGCTTGCTTAGTGTATTGTGAGTTCAAAATATGATAAAAATGATTCTTAATGGTAGTCTTAAATTTTAAGATTTATGTTGAATTCTCTTGAATTATAATTTTTGTTTGAATATTGCAGCTGGAAATTTGAGCCTGGTCCCTCCAACAGAGATCCTCAACTTCACAAGCAAGCTGCTTTCAGATTCTCAGGTCAAGCCATACAGGAATGCTTTGAAAATGCCAGCTCTAATTCTGGACAAGAAAGAGAAGATGGGATCGCGGTTTATCTCTAGTAATGGATTGGTTGAAGATCCTTACGCTGTTGAGAAGGAAAGAGCTATGATCAATCCTTGGACTTCTGATGAGAAAGAAATTTTCATGCATAAGCTAGCGACTTTTGGGAAGGATTTCCGAAAAATTGCTTCCTTTCTTGATCACAAGTCAACTGCAGACTGCGTTGAATTCTACTACAAAAATCATAAAGCTGATTGTTTTGAAAAAACCAAGAAGAGTAAGCAAACTAAATCTTCTACTAACTACTTGATGGCATCAAGTACGAAATGGAATCGTGAATTGAACGCTGCTTCGCTTGATATTTTGGGTGTGGCTTCATGGATTGCAGCTGATGCTGACCATGCTATGAACAGTCAGCAGTTGTGCTCTGGTAGAATCTTTTCCAGAGGCTATCATAATTCTAAAATAACAGAAGGTGATGATGGTATTTTAGAAAGATCAAGCAGTTTTGATGTTCTTGGGAATGAAAGAGAGACTGTTGCTGCTGATGTTTTGGGTTCATTGTCCTCAGAGGCCATGGGTTCTTGTATTACTACTTCTGTTGATCTCATGGAGGGCTATCGAGAACAGAAGTGCCAAAAGGTGGATTCTGTTGCAAAAGCACCTTTGATATCTGATGTTATGGAGAATTTTGATGAAGAAACCTGCTCAGATGAGAGTTGTGGGGAGATGGATCCTACTGATTGGACAGATGAGGAAAAGTCCATCTTTATACAAGCTGTGTCATCTTATGGCAAGGATTTTGAAATGATCTCCCAAGTTGTCAGGACAAGAACTAGAGACCAATGCAAGGTGTTTTTTAGCAAGGCCCGGAAGTGTCTTGGACTGGATTTGATGCATCCTGGACCCAGAAAGTCCAGGACATCACTTAGCGATAATGCAAATGGAGGTGGGAGTGACACTGAAGATGCTTGTGCCATGGAGACTGGATCAGCTATCTGTAGTGATAAGTTGGACTCTAAGATTGATGAGGATTTGCCATCGACCATCATGAATACAGAGCATGATGAATCTGATGCAGAGGAGATGATAGGATTGGATGAGGACCTGAATGGAACTGAAGGCAATAATGCATGTGGGATGTTAGATAAGAATGATTCCAGGGTTGTAGATGAAATGGTTTCTGATCCATCTGAGGCAGGGCAGAGTGCTGATCAAGCTTTTGATGTTGACAGCAAATTCACGAATACTGTTAATCGGACAGAGCCTGTACAGGACCAGAAAATGTTGATTGCATCAGCTAATGCAGAATCTGAAAGAGATCAAGTAGCTGACAATGGTGTTTCTGTTGTCAAATCACTGTCTGTTGTAGGTGCAGTTGATGTCAGCACATCCAATACAAATACTGCTGTTGAGTTGAAAGGTGTAGTTGAGGTCTCTGTTAATGGATTGCAAAATGGTTTTACAGAGCAAGAACTTTTTCTACCTGAAAATAGTTTGGGTAGTCCAAGTGGCTTGATGCAAGATTCAACCAGCAATGCCTCACGCCATCCTGTACATATGGATTCCTGTTCAGAATTCAGCTGCAGTTTAGAAAATATGCATCAAGTCTCTGTCCAGTTAGAATCTGTGGAAAAGCCACCTGTCATCTCATTGCCACAGGAAAATAATCTTGCTTTAACAAATTCCATCTTACAAGATTCTGCTGTCATCCAATTTGAGAAAAGGCACAAACAGGATACACTTCAGGAGAGCAGTAGAGATAAGCAGGGTAAAATTTCTGTTAGTGGAGATGATTACTTCCAGCATCTGTCGGATCATCCTTTGTTGAACCATAATGAATCCTCCCAGATCCCCCAGGGTTATTCACTGCAAATTCCTACAAAGAAAGAGATGAATGGGGTTATTTCTGGTAGACTTCTTTCTGGAGCTCAAAGCCTTCCAAACTCAGAAAAGAATGTCACCAGTCAGTCTGAAGCTCAGGAGTGCTATCTTCAAAAGTGTAGCAGTTTGAAAGCTCAGCATTCAGTGCCTGAGCTTCCATTCATATCCCAACGTCGTGGACGTGGAAGTGATCATCTGAGAAATCATTCACGGAGGTCATCAGATGCGGAAAAGCCATGTAGGAATGGTGATGTTAAGCTGTTTGGTAAAATACTCAGCAACCCCTTGCAAAAGCAGAATTCTAGTGCTCGCGAGAATGGTGAAAAAGAGTCCCAGCATCTTAAACCAACAAGCAAGTCTGCAACTTTTAAATTTACTGGACATCGCCCTACAGAGGGTAACATGGCTCTCCCGAAGTGTGATCCTAATAATCAGCCTGGCCTGGAGAATGTTCCCATGAGAAGCTATGGTTTCTGGGACGGGAACAGAATACAGACTGGGTTTCCATCTATGCCTGATTCTGCTACTTTACTGGTCAAGTATCCTGCTGCATTTAGCAATTACCATGTGTCATCATCCAAAATGCCCCAGCAGACATTGCAAGCTGCTGTCAAGAGTAACGAGTGTAATCTGAATGGCATTTCTGTTTTTCCTTCTAGGGAAATAACTGGGAGCAATGGAGTGGTGGATTATCAAATGTACAGAAGCCATGACAGCACTGGAGTGCCGTCATTTACTGTAGACATGAAGCAGCGGGAGGTTATATTAGCTGAGATGCAAAGACTGAATGGGCAGCAAACGAAGGGGATGGCAGGGGTGAATGTTGTTGGAAGAGGGGGGATTCTTGTTGGGGGAGCTTGCACAGGTGTTTCAGATCCTGTGGCAGCCATTAAACGGCACTATGCCAAAGCTGATCAATATGGTGGGCAAAGTGGAATTGTCTTCAGAGAAGAAGAATCTTGGAGAGGCAAGGGGGACATAGGCAGGTAGTAGGAGTGTTTAGAGGGCATCTTTAGGACGTCCTTAGTGGCAAATTCTTCCTTTGCCGCGCTTTGTATCATAGTTCTTGTATTTTTCAATGGAATGTTAGGGCATTAGACGGTTTCTCAGTCCCATCTTTATGGTAAAGTTATTTTAGGTGTCTGTATGATTGCAGCTATTTGTTGTATTTGATGGAAAGTGCAAAAATAATTTGTTGTTGAGTAGGGCGACATCGGAAGCCACCCTCTGCTTTCAAAAACCTAATCTTGGAGACAAGTGACCTTTTCATTCACATCAACAGATTCTGCAAATTTATTTCGTTTCCTTTTATAATCAGGAACGCTCAACTAATGGGTTTTGTGACTTGAAAGGTCAAGTATCGTGTTTAAAAAAAAAGAAAAAAGAGTTGAATACGTTAAAATTTTATTGCTGAATGGATAGCACTGATGGGTCTCACTCTGCCCTATAGAAACTGCAAATATTTCACGCCTGTGTTCAACCTTCGCTCAAACCGCGGTAGGAAAGAGGTGGCGGCATTCATCACTTCTTTGGTTTCTGCCTTTGCGCGTAAGATGGATGGGATTGGTGCTGTGACTTTTAGTAACTGAAGAAAGAGAACATGAAGCCTTTTGCATCTTAAAAATTGCAGCAGAGTATCACCAAGAATTGCTTAAAGAATAGCTGAGCAAAATTTATAACAGATCATAAAGCTATGTGTAGCGCAAGATCACCAAAAGTAAAAAACACAAAACATCTCCTTCTCTTGTTTTTTAGTGTATCTCATAAAAATTATCTTGCAGTGATCTCTTGTCCATCTTAACATCTCCTGGAAATCTTGCGTTGGTGTCTTTTATTATATCTGACTGTGAAAGCCCACTATCCTAAGAGGGGAAAGGAGTATGAAAGCTTCTACTCTGGGATGCAATGAATTGTTAATGATTCAGCAAAATGCTTTCGTTTCTGTTTCTTTCTTTCTTTCTATCTATGCAACCCTTTTAACCCTGTTTGATATATGTTACAATTGGGGTCTGGTTAGATCTAGTAACTATCATATATATAGCTTTGTAGTAGGGCTTGGCTCCTACATTTTTTATCCTTGATCAAGGAATTCATTTAATTCATAAGTTCTTTTAACTTCAGTACATATCGGATTAGCAATTAATGAACCATAATAAACACTCTGTAGCGATAAACAGCTTTCATTCCCATATCAATTGCCTTCTGAATGTTGACAAGCGTGTAGACTTCAATACACAGTAAAAAAAAATATCAGCAGTTAACACTAAGGTCTACCCCACAAATGATGCCCTATGAAAGAAAGGTGAAGGCAAATCTGGCGTGGGCGTCCTGATTCAATCTCAGCCTTTTAAGACATATTAACAAGTACTGGAAAGTTCAGAAAAAGTTAAATGATGTTCCACTACCTTCCCTCCATTTGTTCAGATGTTGAATCAGAGAAAGCTACTGTATATGTGCGCTAAGACATTCAAAATGTACAGAGTGAAGCGTGCAGAATACCTGGACCAATGTGTGGTTTCCTTGTGCATCTCTCTCAAGGACTCCAACTTCGCTCAAAGATGATTATCCTGGTTTGAACATTAGTGAAACATAAACATGATCAGAAATACATTCAAAATAGAAAAGGAGGATCTTGACAGCAAATAGTGGAATAACAAACATTCAAAGGCGAGGACACTTTAAGAGACTTGAAAACACAACTAAAAAATTTCTATATAGTATTGAATTTATGCAGTAACTATAAGTACTTGAGAGGAGGAAAAAACAGAAATTTTATTTAGAGAAGGGAAATATTTAATGAACCTGAGGGTGAAGCAACATACAGCCCTTTGGCCACTCCAGATAACGCATTGTTCCAATTGGCTGTTTGATGATAATCTATGACGCAAATGAGATTCTTATTATGAAAAGTTATATACAAGGAATGGCCTGATTGAGAAAAAACAACCACTGGATACAGATGGTTCTTCAAGTTGTCAGCATTATAAAAACAAAATAATCATTGCCAACCAAAGAAGAAATCACTGCATACCCAGAAGAGTACAAATGCCACAAACAGAAAAGGAAGCAAGAGGCAGTGATTGAGCCAAGGTGTTACCTATCCTGATTCAGTATCCCATTCACTAGTGCCTGGTATATCTTTGAAATCTTCCACTTTTTTCTCTGCTCCATGTTGGTATTGCTATACATGAGGGAATCGAAAACGTTTTATCAGCAAAATATATTCTGGTTTACAACCATGACATTGGCTGTCACACTATTATGTCAAGAACCGTTTCTTCAGTTAAAGCAGAACAGAAGAAAATCATGCCAGGTCTACGCTTGTCAGCATTTCTTATTTTCATATCAATGCAATGTACTAGTGTAAAGTAGTCCTCATAAGCAAAGCTTCCTCCTGACTGACTAATGAAATTGGAAAAAGAGTGCAATTATCACGTGCACATTTCCAAAATTAGCCAGATGTAAGCAGAGAAAATAAGAGTTATGATCATTCATTTATTCAGCACCAGTAGCTAACTGATGCAGGTGATGAACAGGATGTGATCCTTGGCTTGCCAGGGAAGAGATGTCCTTGCTTGCCCTCCACTAGAGTTGCATTAAAACTTGAAGACCGGACAGCTTGTTCAAAGCAATCTGATCATCACCTTCACATGAAACTTGAAGCAAGGCGCATCAGGCTCTCTCCACGGAGCCTATGATAGGCCAATTCCGAACGATCCCTAAAAAATCATGATCCCTTTCTACACAAAATATACATGAAATTCTTTTATTTGATTTTTAACAGAAATCTACCCAAGGGTTGTATAGGGCTCTTTAACAACTTCACCATCAATTCTTATCTGTAACCAAAAACAAAAACCCATTTCAAAGAACTACTCAACAGTACAGTACAAAATAGAGTGAAAAACTCACCATTTTCTCAAGACTATGAGTAAAGTGGTGATGGTGCTTCCCATTTTTGATGCATGGTCAGTATGGCTTTCACCCCTTTAGTTAATGTGGTGGTTATGTTTTTTGGAGTAGTTTTAGTTTTACCACTGTCAAAAGTGTTTTAACATCCATGAATTTCAAAATTCTTAATAGCCTATTGACCAACTTCCTCGTAATTTTTTTTGACAGGTGGACATGTAAGTAGTGTCAAGGGAGTTATGAATATATATATATTTTTTAGCAATGGAGTTTAGACTTAAGGGGTTTGATTTTTTGAGGAAAAAAGTAATTATCTTGCAATTGATCAGGATTTGAAGACTTGACAAAAGCATTAGTGTCAAAACGAGCACCCCACAAACCCTGCACAATGGAATGTTGAACACAAACGGGGACCAGGTCATTCGTTCGTCAAGAACTAACTGTAGCTCAAAGTACAAAAATCCAATATAAACTAGTGTTCTGGGTTCAAGCAAATTAGTTGACCTGCTCCCATGGACGATTGCCACTAAGAAAAGAGAGGGCCATTTGGATATCTCAGCAAGATTTTGTTGAAAATTCCATAGATGGCTTATGAAGATTGGGAAAAAGTGACAAGCAATAAAACGTGGATCTCCCAGATGTTAAATGATAGGTCGAGCATGGAAAAATTAGTTATCGCAATTTTGAATGATTTATTCATAAGAATGCATTGCTGTCTTAGTCGGTCACTTTTTTAAGTTTTAATACGCACAGATAAATTCCTATTTGTTGGAAAGATGACAAGATCTCAAGGAGCAAGCATTCCAAGATATTTTTCAGGACAGATAATAGCCTGAATAATAAATAAATAAATCACTCATGATTTATTATCTTTTATTTCTTCAATTGCCGTTATCAGGTCTTTACAGGAAAGGAAAACAGCGACAATCATGGAAAAACAAGGAGCAGGCAACCACCCCTTGTTGGACACAAATTACAATAATGTAAAAGCACAAAGATGGGGCACAAAGATGGGGAAAACAATTAAGTGCCAAGATGGAAGAATTAGCAGAACACATCTGCTGCTGAAGAGGAATTCCCTGCCATCTGAAGGGAAACGGGATATTCCACTAGTGTGCCGCAATGTCCACTCTTAACGGCAACAACTTGCAACTGACTGGAGCTACTGGCAGGTGTTTCGGCAAGAGGCATTCTCTTGGCAGCTACTTGCTTCAGCCGGTACCGCTCTGCCCTAGATCCAATAACCTGTCCTAAAATAGATGCTCCAATGGTAAGTGCCATGGCTGACTTTGGCATCAATATGGATTTCCTAAGCATGGCTATGAATGGAACTGCAGCATGGACAGCAGCAAACCATGATGGCGAAAATTTTTTGGTGTGTTCCCTCCATATTCCTAAAGGAACATTTGCTGCCATACCCAACATCCCAATCACAAGTATTTTTGCAGGCAAGGGTTGTGGCCGGAGATTCTTTGCAAAGGAAGTTCGTGATATAGCTGCTCTGGCTGCAATCACTGCAGGTGGGCACTTGAGGTTCATGCCTGGAGGGGGTTTCAGAACCTTAGCTACAAGTGGCAAGACACTGCTAACTGCCCGATAAGATTTCGCAATAGGGCAGTTTCCAGTTTGCAGCCACTCATTGCTCAATGCCTCATGATTAGATTGTCCTCCCTGAAACATCATCATAAAAATTTGTCAGAGGGGGAGAGCTGAGACAAAATTTGAAGTTCCAAATTTGTTTTTCATCATATATGCAACAGTCTAGAAATCAACATCTATTTACCTGTGAAGACGACCCTTTCTTGGATGAATTGGAGTTTTTCTTCTGATTATTCCAATTCTTAGAAAACGCATCAAAACTGAAGGGTCCCCCAGCTCCAAAGGATGAGAGACTGATGGTGGCTGCCTTTGCAGCTAAAGGATTGAATTTGGGTACAGTGAGTTGGGGTTCTACTTTCTCAGCATGTGATAAAGATCTTTCAGAAAGTGGGACTACTCCATCATGTCCATGGAATAGCCTAAAAGCCATGTCAAAATTGGGACCATCTTCAAAAATTGGACCCTTACCCATGCGCACCTAGTAAAAAGATTGATCAAAATTTTAGTCTCATGTTCCATTCCAATTAACCAATTTCAAAGGTGCAATGGACAAAACATTGGATTAAGTAACAGGTGAGATGCAAGCCCAGGTTCAGAATCTATTGGTTTCATACTAGGCCAGGCAAGCTCCGAGCAACAATACAGTTTGCCGGGTCTCAGGAAATGCACAAGGTATAATAAATGAGGCAACAACTGAACCAGTACCTAATTGAGATGAAGAAGCTTATATTTAAGCAAAGCTGAGCAAAAATAGAAAACTTACAGGCATTGGGAAAGGCATGGACGAGGAAAGGGAAAAACTAGTGGGCTCATTAATGTTTCTCAGGAAGGGACACCTATGGATGTCTAGCTGAGAAGGTGCGGGATCCTCACTTAGACCTCTGAAGAAAAAGTCCATCTTTATCGGAAATCAAGGTTACCTGCACAAAAAGAGGAAAGAGCATAAAGATAAATGCCTTCATCATCTTATGAACATGAAATGATAAACTGCCAAACATGAAATCAAACTCTCAAAACAACGTTAAGAATAAAAATTGACCGCAACTATGAATCATAACAACCACCGATCAAGATTGTAAAACCAATCTCAGAAACTGAAGAAACACACAAGATTTTGATTGCAAAGCGTGTGATCATATGCCCAGTAAACACAAACAATTCATCAAATCAGAAGTTCTAGCTATCAAAATCTAAACTTTAACAAAGAGACAAGCATCATTAACACACAGGTACAATTTCAATTATATACCAACAATTATAAAAACTGAACATAACTCTTCAAAAAAGAATACAACTAAATAAAACCAGACATCATCTAATATCTCAACTGATCACTACACAAAGCTTTTTATTACAAGAGCTACAGAGTTTAAGATATATCGAATTGTCTTTACCCGGAAAAAAATGAAACCCATTTGACTTCCAGAAAACCCATTAATTTTTTTTTTCTTTAAACCTCTAAATTATCGAACTTTAGCAAACCATTAACCCTCTGGAATCAACAAATCTCAATTATAATGAAATAAAGCAAAACACCAAACAATGCCAGAAAAAACGTCAGAAACAAGGATCTAAAAAACCGAAAGAAAGCAAGAAACTTTAAGATGCCATACCTCTTGCGCTGATGTTATAATTAAAACCCAGAAATCAAAATAGAAAAAAGTGAGTAAAAAAGGGTTTGTTTGAGGGATTGAAGAGACAAAGAAAGGAATCGAAGTTAGGTACCAAAGGAGAAAGGGAGAGAATTGTTCAAGAGAAGAAAGAGAGGGTGTAAACGACGACGTGCTATGCACACGCCTTGGATGTTTTTGTGTTGTAAATGTCAACGCTGGAGTCACAAGGTTTTGTGTTGTTTGGTTTGGTCAGAGCTGGTGGATGGAGACTTTATTCTTAATTTAAATAAGGGTTGGGATTCTTCGTTGTTTCCTTTTCACATTAGGATTCGGAATTGTGGATTTGTTTACCTAATTTTCTCTTTAAAAAAACGAGAGAAAAAATATTCCTTACAGATAATATATTACTTCTTCATACCAAAAAAAGGAACAGGCTTTTCCATCTGTGAATACTAAATTTGGGTTTTCCATTGTATCACAAATATCTTATTGACAATTAACTCAATTGATTCGTAGTTTCTAGGCATATTATCAGACAATAATCATCTAATTAGCTATGATCCAAAAGAGAGAGTCTAATATCAAGGGAAAGAACATGAAATTTTACCTACAGATAAAAAATAATGGAGAAACATGTGCATCAAAGTATTTCAACTTTTTTGTCTTCTGAGTTTTTATTTATTTTTCATTAAAGTATTTTAACCCTCATTCTTGCCGATCAAGAGCCAAAAACTTGATCTAAAATTAATTATTTTGAATTATTACAACTATACACCAAGTTTAATGGGTTTTTACTAGCTCTTCGTTATAGCAATGTTATGCCATCTTTTTCAGAGTCATGTCATCTTACAATCTAGTGCTTAAGAAGCTGAGATACCGGCCGAGAGGAACAAGTAAATAAAGTCATGTGCTTGGCATATACCTTTTGCACTAACAGTAAGTCTGGGAATAGTAAAAGTGATGATCGCGCAAAATCTAATCATCCTCGTGAATGGATACAGAGGGCTTTCAAGATCTCTGCTTTTGGTCTTGTTGGAAGTTAGCGATAAGGTGGCTGATGACTTCAAGCACCTTCGATTAATTTTAAAACAGTCTTGATCATGCAATTTTAATAAATGATTCTTGACACTATTACTATTTTATTCCGCCATGGAAATATCTTTTTTGCAGCACTGTTTAAGGACCTGAAGCATATTATTTTTTAATTAATATAGGTACTCAACCCTAAAATTAATAATTATATAAATTTTCAGTATTTTTAAAATTTATAAAATTTAAATTAGTAATTTAAAAAAAAACAAACTCAGACCTAACTAGTTAAATTATATTTTTTAAAATTTGATATACAGTATTTTAAACATGGACAAGGATTCCTCGCATGAAGGCTGTGGTGAAGTTTGTTTTTGAAGGAAAGGTCCACCACTCATTCTGAGGTGCTGTGTGAGCCAACTCAAATCCTTTAACCAGCCATTATCTCCGCTAGCATTTTTTTTTTGGGTAGGCAAAAATCAGTTCACGAGCTCGTTGCAAATGACCAAATTAGCTCTCTGCAATAAGTTAACTGGGAAAATTTTATTGTTTACTGAACAAAGTCCTTGTATTTTTGACATTTACCTTTGCAATCCATGGGACATAAACAAACATTATTATGACTGGTCCCATACCAACAAATTCACAACATGGGTCAGTATCAGAAATCACTGATCAGTAGCCAAGGACAGCCTTTGTTTGGCAAGAAAATGAAAGAACAGTCAGTTGAAAGGGTCAGACATTAAACATGCTCGTAAATGACAATACTCTGAATGAAATATGTGGCCAAGTTTGTATTTACAGAAAGTTGACAAAATTGCCATCGCGTGCTGATCTGAAAACTAGAGATTAAAAAGCAAAGACGCCTACTGTTTCCTTCACGGCCTGCCCTCTTGCATACACGTCAATTTCATCAGAAAGAGGGCATCAGGAAAGTAGTTTAGGGAAAAGGAGAACAGTACAAATTACTATTAATAGAGCTCCTTTTTGCAGTCATTCATCAGCAATACTAAAATCTATTCAAGCGCTGCTTCCTCGTTTGATTTCTTGTATTCCGGCTTCAGCTCATATGATCCTTGATTACTTCCCTTGTTGTTGTAGACACAAAGGTCTTTAAGCATGTCTTTAACAAATTGCTGCAGAAAGACAAGGTAATAATGAGACAGAGAAGGCGAGGACAAAATACTTCTATACTGATTCAACGGAGAAAATGGCAAAAAAGCAAATCTTAAAACAAGCATTTCAAAAGAAAATAAAAGGTATTTCACATAAGCCTTAAAAGATCCTGGTGGCTGGCCGCATAAGTTTTTGAAACAGCCAAAACTATATTTTTTTTGTCTGCAATCCAGAAGGGGGAAGGAAGAAGAAGGATGGTCAACAGATGATAAAATTATTCTAGTGTGACAATTCATGGAGCAATATCTGCTCAGACTTGTTCGAAATGTTCAAAAATAAAAAGAAGTATGCAAAGTCACAGTTATTCTGAATTTTGAAACAAGCTCCATATTGGAGATAAACAGAGCTTCTGAATTTCCCAGCATAGAGAAACCCTGGTTAAAATAGATAGAATTGCTAAAATCTGCAAGAAACAATATTATGTAAAATCTTAGAACTCTAGCAATCAAAATTAGGGTTTTGATGAGTCAAATAATTTCATTCAAAATCCAGAGACAAGGAGTAGAAAATCATCCAGTGAAAGGATGCAATCATGAGGTCAACTAACATGAAGCATGTGGTCATTACCACTCTAAAACGACATGCCTCATGCCCATTTGAACAGTCAAGTTAACAAAAAGACGAAAAAAAGCTCATGCCCATTTGAACCTGTTAGTGAGAGATATTTGAATTTCAGCTAAAGGCTCAAAGAACTTTTGCCTAGTGTTTGGATGCAGAGTGCATGTACTTTTCATAGCTGAACAGCTTGGAATTTGGCGAATAATTTTACTTCTGACCCCCATAGAAGAGAAGTCTTATCATGGTGTTAAAGGATGAGTTCATATCAGAAACCAAAAGTAGTAATATACTAAATAGTAAGAGCCTGTAATTTAAACATGGGTATAGCAGGTAAGCATAATGCTGGAATTCTTCAAATTACTATGAGAAGATCACATTAGAGTACTTTCACCCTACACAAACAAAGAGATAATCAGAGCACCCCAACTTGCCTTACAACTTTGTAAAGACCCATATTTAGAAACAGCGCCTCACAAGTCAAATGTCGACATATAAACTACATTCTCTGTTGATCTACAGGTCATGCGTTGCAAAGTTGGTCAAACTCATGATTGCATAGTTCATGAAATCATATATTCCTCTAAAAGCAATATGTTTTTGCATGCTTTCAATACAGCATCATATGGCAACAATACGGACATGTAAAATGACTTGGAAGATCAAAAATATGACACACAGCACTCAAAAGAACTCTGCCACTAATTCTGGGTATCATACACACATAGAATTTTTAATTATTTTTTTACACACTATTGTTAATAAGATCCAAACGATAGCATAAGCACATTTGCAAAAACTAAGTGGTCAGAAAGCATACTTCAGGTTGGTCTGTCTCTTGGATCAGCTGTTTTAGTGTCCAGTTTGGTTGCTTTTCAAAAAGCTTAAACATAATCCCTTCCATTTCTCTACGGTCTCTTCTCGTTCTTTTCATATCTGATGCCTTGATTGGCAGTTTCTTCTTATCCTATAGCAAACACAAATGTTTAGAATAGTCCATATCATAAATATCACTAATCTATCTGGTAATAGCAAAAAAGAAAGTGCCTCCACATAATGCAAGGTGAAAAAACATTGACAAATGTGTAGGAAAAGGACAGTACAGCGAGTCCAGATATAATCATCCCCGGCATAGGCATCATATGACTCCCAGTGTCATTGTCGATGACCTGAAATGGGAACAAGGAGAGGGTCAAAGAGAATTGATCATCCATAAAACACATGAAGAAAAGATGTTCAGTGCAAAGCAGACCTTTATTTGTCTACTCTTGACCATGTACTTTTTTGTTCTTTCACGACAGATTTTTCTATAGTTCTCAAGGTTTTCACTATGAGGCCTCACATCAAATTTGTTCAGTATTCTTCCCTCCACAGACAGCTTTCCTATAAAACAATGGAATTTCACCAACTTTAGTTCAGCTTCCAAAGTTCAGTTGCCAAAATTGAAACATGTTTTACGAGTTAGAAGTTAGAACAAGAAAACAGCTGTTTGTTATCCAAGCAAACAGGCAGAAAAACCAGCATATACTAATTGCATATTCTCGTGAAGAAAGTAAGAGTTCCATTTCCATGATGAACTGATGTGCATTTTTTTTGGTACAGAGAAGAGCCCACAGGCCCAAGGACACAAATACTAACTAATTATCATGGATACTATTACAAGCAAACCTACAATGATCAGCTGAAAGTAAGTTCAGGAGTCCTGGTAGAGGATCAGGAAGATATTTGATTCCTAACTTCACATTAGATCTTATATTAGTCAGTCAATCGGCACACTGAGTTCCCTTCTCTGTAGCATGTGCAATTATATTTAAGTTATTGCTCAGTGGCAATACAGTGCAGAAAAATTCAACCTAGAGTTTTCTAGCTATCCCAAAAAAATGATCCACTGGCTTGCTTTTCCTTGAAGTGAACCATCTTAAGAGGTTACTATTGTCCTCAGTTTGGATAGAGAGGCAAAACAGGGAATTTAAATAAACTATTTTGTCAAATAAAAATGATAAATTAACTATGATCTGAAGCGTTCTTCATGGAAAGTGACAGAAGCATGCTTACCTTGAGATGACTCAGAAAACACAGACATATCAACTAAGTCTTTAGACATTTCCATAGAGTAAGACTTGAGTCCATCTCCAGGTCCAGTGCCAGCCATTTCCATAGTGAACTGAACATGATATGGAATGACTTAGATAAGGTGAAGCAGTCCAAAAGAATAGACGTCCCAAAAAAACAAAAGAAATGCTATATCATCTCCCGAATTTTTTCATTGATGTCATGAATTAATCTAAATTATCGATCCAGTTATAGTGACATCTTCACTCAACCCAAGGAAAAGAAGAACGGAAATCAAGGCAAACATAGTACCAAGAAGATCATTATTATCAAATTTTTTTCCCGTGCAAATTCATTCTATGCACCACATAAAGGAGCTCCACAATCCAACAAGTCCTTTCAAACCTTAGTCAATGCTGATGAAATTAGAAAATTTTAATGTCATGATCACTGCTCGCTAAGAAATAAAACAATTTGAACACACTATCATCTAACTCATCTACGGTATGTTGCACTTGAAATCGATTAACAATCAGAATACCAGAAAGGATTGAAAGCATTTTATATCAAGTTTGCAAAATGAAATAGATTCTTTTCTATGGGAACATGATGATTACAGCAATTCAAATATTTCCATCCGGATACAGATGTACTTCCTAAGAAATCTTCCAAGCACAAAGTTATGACTCACTCTGCCTTCAATTCCCACAAGCCAATTCAACAGGAAAAACAAAAACATGCAAGTCGCCACATAACAGAAAAACAAAAAGTCGCCTCATCTAAGATTTTTTTCTTAAAGTAGAAAAGGTCATTACTAACTTGCGGACCACAATTCCTGAGAAGGGAAATCTGAAGATAATGGACAGAAATATTTAGTTTGATACGTGAAATTCAATTCTAATTAGCAAAATTCATTAAAACTAAGCAATACGATACACAACATTACACATAAAGAAAATGAAAATGACACGAAACTGAAAAATAAAACCACATTCCATAAGAGTGTGATAACTTGTGAAATGCAGAAACCAAAAGAAATCGTGAAGTGTGAAAACCAAACAAAACAAAACAAGAATCAACTCGAAATTTAATGCATTCGGATAATCCAACAGTAAAATGTCACCAACAACCAAAACAATCTAAAACCACACAAATTAGTCCCTAGAAATGACACGGCACAAAATCCAGCCAGCAAAGGAAAAAGAAAACACAATCTTGATTCAAAACAAAGGGAACCCATAGACCCCAAGGAACCACACAACGCAAATAAACCATCAAACCTACAAAAACCAACCATGCAAGGCAAAGAACAAACCCAAAAGACATAAACTTGAACATATCTTAAAGAAGGACAGAAACACAAAAAAGTTGTATCTTTTTACCTCAGTAGCAGAATTATCATCATCATTGCTTTTAAGAGGGTCAACAGAGACAATGACTTTAGCCACAGGTGGCGAAGAGGCATCAGCATCACCACCTTCATGTTCTTGGCTTCGTAGAAAACGAGAGACTATTGAAGGACATTTCATCAACCAAACTGATTTCTCTGCTTTGCTTGCATCCAAGAACCCACCAAGAACAGGACTTTTGTTATTATTGTCATTTGTAAGGTTTTTGTTGTTGTTGTTGTTGTTGTTGTTGTTGCCGCTGCTGCTGCTGCTTGCCTCATCGTCCATGGCGCGAGAGACTAAAATGGGGCAACGGGGTCTTTCTCTCTTTTGGGAGTGAAAGAAACGGTTTTTGAGATAATATTTTGGTTTTTATTATTATTTTTATTTTTAACAGCGAGAAGGCCACAACCGGTTATGGAGGCAGTTTTATATTAGCGAGAAGGAGCCACGTAAGGCGTGATCCAGCTGGAGTCTTTGTGTTTGAATTGGATGATTACAACCTGGAATTAACTAAACCTGGTTTAGCTAAAACGACAAGTCGTCTGCTGCCACTGCATAGTGAACCAGGAGGATTAAAACCCCGCTCCGAGCAACGAAGTTTGTGACTTTTTTGAGTTCTTTTCATAAACTCTCTCTCCCTCTTTCTCAATTTGGTCTTCATTACTTATATGGTAATCTCTTGATTTCTCTTTCCTCTTTTACATGCAATTGTTCATTCTTCTATGCAGTTTTTGATTTATTTTTTTTGTTAGATATATAATGGTGGAATTGTAAGTGAAAAGGCAAAAGCCCAGTTGCTGATTGGGATTTTGATTTGTTCTTACGAACTGGGTTCTTCTTACTTTGGTCTCGAAAGTGTAAAAATGGATGAGTTGCTGGAATCATGTTGCATTGTTGTTTGAGGTTTATGTCCGGTTCTTTGTTTGATTATCAATTGATGCAATAATGTTAAGTTATTGCAATTTTTCAATTTTGAGAAGGGAAAAAGGCTGTCTAGAGAAAAAAACTTGCGCTTTCTTTTACATTTAGTTATAGGTAAGCGATGAATCTTGTTGTTGTAGCAATTTGTCTTGATATTTAGTGTTCGAATAGGTAAAATGGAGAACAGAGTTGCTAATCAGCTCCCTGAAGTAGACTCTTTGCCAGATGGGTTTGTTGACAGCTCAATGGAACCCGTGGCTCCTCAAACTCCAACTTCAGAGCAAGAGACGCCAGTCAGCGACTGCAAGGAGGATAGTATTGGTAAAGTTGATCATGTGAGTGAAGCATTACAGGAGATGGCTGCAAATGAGTCTCAAACCAGTCAGAATGGTACCGAGAAGCCTGAAAAGATGAAAAATTTCCCTGTTCCATTGCCTGATATTGATGGATGTGATGCTTCAGTGCACTTGGTAGTTGAGCCTGATCAGGGCGCGTGGCAGGAAGAGGGTACACTTACCAAGCCTGTTATAAATGATCTAGTTCCTGAGGCTTCTGTTGGGGTGTCCAGATGCAGCGAGGTAATCGAAGTTCAAGGGAGTTCTCAAAGTTCAGATAGATGTAATTATCTTCTCTTCCATTGCAATTGCTTTCATAACTCCAATTTTGTTTTGAGTTTCTGATTTTACATTGTTGGCCCTTGGTCATTCCTTTGCAGCCACACAAGGAGGTTTGGACTCACAAGCCACTTGTATAAAAGAAATATCTTCATCAGAAAGCACTGAGTTGCAGAAAGGCAGAAAAGTAGTCAGTGACCTACCTTGATTAGTTTGATCACTAAAGAGACTTCTAGCTAATTTTTTTTTCTTATTTCTAGTTACTTAAATGCATTTTGATCTATGTGTGAGGACTGCACAGTTGTGTGTTCGTTTCTTTCCTGTCCCTATAATTCCTTGACAGTAAGGCCTGCCATCTTTTTCAGCCATCCAACTCCATACTGTCATGCCATTTTGACAACAACATGCATACTACTATGCATTATATATATTTTTTCTTGTTTTCCTGGATGTGCTTTATTTTTAAGAACATCCCATATTTCCATCTATATAGGAAGTATTACTATTG